ATATCATTCTTTGTGAAATATTATTGTGTTGATATAAATTTTGTTTACTAATTTTAATTTTTTACCGTATTGCTATAAAATCTCAAATTTAATGTAAAATTTTTAACAATAATACCTAAAATTTTCAATATCTAATAAAACTAATTAGTAATGTGAAATCAAATTTATATAAAATCTAAAAAACTTTTAAAAAAATCTCAGCACTATATATAATAATACTAAAACCTTTTTTAAGATAATATATTTTAATAAACATGAGGAAATTCCTTAACACCAACGAAACAATTTCATATCTGCCATCATCACCAACAATGCTGTCACTTACCCATCCAGCAGGGTAACACCCACCCTAAATTTCAGCTATGTAACGCGGACGTATATTTGACTATCCATGACCAGGTCCGACCTAGACCAAGAGGTTTGTTTTTTTCATTTTCTCTTTTTTCGGTAGGGGCTATATTTGGGTCAGGTGATGAGAGCATTAGGAGATTAATTTCTCTTTTGTTAGTTATGGTAGGTAGTAGGTACAACCTCAATGGGCATAAATTTCTTTTTTTTTTTTTTTTGACAAGGGCAGTGGTTAGTGGATTATGTTAGTTATTTATTAGAAATTGAGAATTCGATTCCAGATGAGAGTAAGCACCACTCTCTTTTCATTGAGGAGCGTAACTCAACCAATGAGTCGCATGGTGGAGCTCGGACAAAAAAAAAATTTGGAATTTAAAATATTAACAAAGAAAATGACAGCTAGTACTGGCTTGAATCAAAATTGGGACAATATCCCAAACCGAACTGGCTGATGCCATTGCTAATTCACTAGATAACATATAACATTGATGAAATGCTGCTAACGAATTTAAATAATTCAATGATAATTTTATTAGTAAAAATAAAATATTTTAAATTTAAATCGTATAATATGTAAATGAAATAAATTAAAAAATAATTATTTTTAATTATGTAACTTAAAATTAAAAAAATTATATTAGGAACATAAATTATTATTTATAAAAAAATTTTATAAGGAATCTGGCTCCTTCTAATAGAATTTGAGCAATTAATAAATTATATTTGCAACTGTTTGTTTTGCTTAAGTTTTTTTTTAACAAGTATAATTTCAGGGTAGGCATGAAATCGAAATCAGCCATAGAGGCTATATAGTGTTTGCGCACCTTCACCAGTTGGCCACTAGCGCCAGTTGCAAGTTCTGTTTTTACGTCACCTTTTGTCAAACGTTAACTTTATTAAGAAGTAATTGGAAAAGAACGGTGCAAAACTTTAGTGAATTTTGTAATAAAATTTTATTAAAATTGTAAATTTAGGAGAAAATTCCTTTTAAAAATATAAAAAAAAATTGTATATTGAAAATTATGTCATGCAAAAAAAAAAAAAAAAAACAAAATTTATCTTTTTTATATTATAATACTAAAGTATAAAAATATAAAAATAACCATAAAGAATCTAAATAAGAAAAAAAAATTAAGAAAAAACTTTCCTCTAACCAAATGTTTAACTATTAATCGCTATGACATCTTAAAGGGATACATCTCTGTCAATTATGATGATGCTTTTTATTTGAAGATTTTAGTGGATTTTTTTTTTTTTTAAATTGTGAAGCTTCCTTGTACATTTTGGGTTGGCTTAAATAAAGTAGTTTGATATTTGGCGATAAAGCAAAATTGTGGCTCATAATTTATAGTTTAATTAATATATCAGGAAAAATTCTAATAAAATGATTCAATAATTAAGAATTTGAGATTTTAAATTAAAAATTTTAAGTTTAAATTTTAAATTGAGTAACGAAGG